CGTTGTGGCCACTTCGGCAGCAATAATCCCATAGATCTCCTCATCCCTCATACTTTTTCTCTTTGTGCTGCCAGCGCCTGATCCCAATCCTCTGCTAGCCACCATACTGAAATATATACAATGGGGAATGGTCAAACATCAAAACACAAGGTTCAACACACTCTGCCTTACACCTATTAGTTCCTTAGTAGCCTTAAGATTCCTGCTGACTCTCATACGAATCGTGTGCTTTCAGTAGTATGGGCCTAAACTACCTTCCATACCTATCCGTAGTTGATCTAGAATTCATCTCAAGGTCCTAAGTCGCTACACTAGACCATCCCTTGGTGTACTAACACCCATACACTCCTAAGAGCCGCAACTAGCTTCCTAGGCACTCTTCTTAGGACTGTCCTCAATCATGTTTCCGCACCGCTAGTTACCTTGTGCATTCTAGTTGTACACAATACAAGATCAGATAGGCTGTCGAATAAATGACTCGACCCTAATCCCACAACCAGACAATGAACATGAAATAAGACTAAGTCGGTCATTCTAAGGATATGCAATCCTCAATTAACATAATAAAATATCATATAACAAGCCATTCCCTAGACCACAAAGCATCACAGAATTTAGACAATACTATCATACATTTCCTGAAAAAATCCTTCAATTATCCAGTAGCATGCCTTTCTAACAATTACAATATCAGCAAGTTCAAGTTCAACATATATAACAAGTATGGGTATTTTGGGAATCACTTTCCTGTTTGGGCTCTGGCTGACTGTACACATTGCATCTTTTGTAAAACCAGGAATAAGTTAGAGACCCACATTTTCGATCCCAAGCCAATAATCAAATAAGAACATGATAAGAGACCGAGCTCATGACCTTAACCCAACCCTTTGTAAAAAATTTCTTTTTCAAAAATGTTATGTGAAAATTCTCGTATCCTAGTTTGAGTCTGAATTCACACAAGTCTTCCTCCAAATCCCACAATTTAGGGCTCTAATACCAACTTGTAACGTCCCATTTTCACAATATTTTTTTCATTTTTAATTAAGGTAAAACTTCACATTTATAGAATCCAAGTTAAGAAAACCATTAGTTCCAAAGTACATTTATTTAAAATTAGAGTAATATAATAAACACGAAATCTCCATTGTTGCTGATGAATGTGTACAGTCGCGTATTCTCCTTTCCACGATCACCAATAGTACCTGAAAACATAACCAACTGGATAAGCACGAAGCTTAGTGAATTCCCTCAAAATACCATACACCACAAAACATATACGGGCCCACAACCACAAAGACTGGATTGCCCTGGGTATGTTGGCCTGCCGCCTTAACTCAAGCATATAACTTGATCTCATCTCGTGCATATAGCTTATGGTTTGCCTGCACCTGATATCTTGACCTACAACACAAAGCAGGACCGGCTCAACCTGACCCACCACAATATGTCAACATATATATATATATATATATATATATATATATATATATATATATTATATATATATATATATATATATATATATATATAAGCACATGCAATTAACTACACAAGTCTACTTGTGTAACAGCTCACTACCGTATTTTAGGCCTCTTCCAACACATTATGCTACTACCATTAAATCTTCAGGGAATGCATAACTATATGTAACCATATGTGAGATAGACATCCGAACAGGTGATCCCACTCTAGAGCCACAACTAAACAAGGAACAAGAAAGAAATCCTAGATTAAGAGTTCTCAGGCTATCCTACGTGACTATATACGACCCCTAGGGCACTCCACTAGACGATAACCATCCTACTGGTACTCTAACTAGCATACCACTAATCCTACATCCTAACACACAAGGATATATATATATATATATATATATATATATATATATATATATATATATATATATATATATATATATATACACACACACACACACTATAACGTGCAAGGATACATAATACAATTTAGTGGGTCGCATTGGTGCCTTCGAACCACGAGTATAATGAGGAAACTCGCCTGAAATAAAGACCGAAAACGAAACATCAACACTTCAACTCCTCTCGCTGATCCGACCTGCGAACTGACTAATCACCAAGAAAAGACAAACCTCAGTCAACAGCTTAATTCCTCTAAATTTGACCAAAAGTCAAACTAGTCAAAATTGAACGGTCAACGGTTAACAAAAGTCAATGGTCAACAAAACACTCTTTCCACAACGTGGAGCTCATTCTACCATGTCATGGGCCTCTTGGGACGAAATAGTTGACTCACAGATCCTTGCCATTCCATGTCTATCCCTTAGCCACGCCGTGGACACACCAGGACAAAATAGTTGCGACTCAGAAAAACGCCACATCGCGGCAATCCCTTTGCCACGTCGTGAGAACCATCAGAAGGCCAAAAATTTCATTAAGTGCTTAATCCTTATAGATATGAACCCAAAATCTCATATCTACTTCTTTTCAATGACTTAATGGATAAATTTTCCAACTTTATCCATTAGGACTCCATTTCAAGGCTAAATCTACAATTTTAAGTCCGTTAAGTCCTTATTGAGGCCATAAATTTAGCATGAAGAAAAAATACACTAAAAATGATCCTTTTTCTTAACAAAAAGAAGTCCAAGGACCTAAGAAATCCAACACAAGTGTTGGAGTTCCTCAAACTACAAAACACCCAAGGAAGGGACCAAAAACACCCAAATATGACCTAGAACTTGAATCTAAAAGAAAAGATGTCAAGGTATGAACTTTATACCTCCAATAGTTTATAAAACTGAAAAGAATAATGGATCTAAACTTGCTCCTTGCTTCCTTGTAAACTTCCTTCTTCTCAAACTCCACCAAAAATCCAAGAACAAATCTCCAAATCAAGGAAATGGACTCTCAATCATGCATGGAGGCTAGGGTTTAATATGGAAGGGTTGGAGGTTGAAGATAATGCCTTAAACCTATAGTTTAGAGACTTAAATATGGAAAAAACCCTAAAAGATCTCGGGCTTAGGCTACAGCTACTGCCACGTCGTGGCCTTCTTCTTACCCGGCCGTGGAGGCCATCCAAAACACGCATTTTGTATCTTCCATGCCACGTCGTGGCAGTCCATCCTCCTCGACATGGAACCTAGTTTCCCAAAAACATTCCCTTTGATTATTCCAAGTTCTCAGCCGACCTATACAAGAAACAGGTATTAAAACCAATCCTTGTGTATACGATCCCTTTATCACTTTACATTATCTTTGTGTGCAAGAATTAAGGATTTATATTTGTTGGCATCGATAACCACTAACTTCTTTCTTAGAAGAAAACCTGGCCATCTAAATACATAAAAAAGAATGACCACAACCATATCATGTCGGTACTATAAACTACGGTGATCTCCATAATGTACTACATGCTCCATAATGGAGTCCAATCATGCCTTACGACAAACTATACATATATCACCAACCCAAAATAATGGGATCATGAGACAATACGACGCGAGTGGCATATATCAACCTACGCGTGAAATCCGCCATGACATGCCAACCTACGCGTAAACACTGCCCCCAAGGGCATATGTGTCTTGTGAAGTGGCTCCAGCTAGGCACGATCACGATCAATCAATCAATTTCTTTCCAAGCAGTCAAAAATACTTCTGCTGCATTTGTTTATTAAATGGAGATATTATTTAGATGTATTAACTGGTGTAAAAAATGGCAAATTGAAGATTTGAGTTTAGTAATAGCTACAACCCATTTTTTAGAAAATGGGTCAAGAAGGAAACCATTTTTAAAAAATGGGTATTAAGGGAGTTAAGAGGGCGTCAGGAAACATCTAATTTTGTTTTTAGTTGAAGTTAGAACTAGGGTCTCTTAAAAATGTATCTTTATATCTTATTATTCCCTTTTACTTACGTTTTAAATTAAATTAAACCCTCAACTATATATATATATATATATATATATATATATATATATATATATATATATATATATATATATTTATTTTTATAAATTAGTTAAATGTTATTTAATTTTATAAATTTCGTTTCTTTATTTAGTTTAATATTAAAAAAAGTATAATGATAATGGAGTGGTAACCATTTCCAAGGGGTAGTAGTGTGGTAGTGAACATGTAGTGGAGATGACGTGATGCAAATCAGACAACACTTTTCTAGTTGGTATGTAGTGACCATACTCCTTGGCCTAATAGCATAGTATTAGTCATACTGTGTGCAATTTGAAGGAGGGAAATTTATACTATTATCCCTGATTTTATGCTGATTTCTTGTGTTGCAGAGGGTAATAGACGTAATTATATACCTGATTTTATAGGATTACAGTTAGTAAGAACAAGATTAATAACAAAGATAAATACATGGTCTGAGCAGAAAACAAAAACACGGGTTAACAAAAAATGACATATCATAAAAACTATTCTTTTATTAGAGTAGGGATAAAAATTTCAATACAATTTGTTAAATTTTTTTACATATTTTATCGAGTTACTAACCGAATGAATATGACTACGTTACTCTCAATTTTTAGAATCTTGTAGTTTTCCAATGTGTAGGCCTCAAATTTCATTCTTTAGACCTTCAATTTTCTCAAATTAATTAGGGCATTTCCGTTTTTTAAAGTATTCAGTTTTAATTGTAAAATCATGTGATTAGATAACTCCTTAATTTTAGTAAATATGTGTCAATTTTATGTTTTCAAAATTTTACGATATACGTCAAATTATCTCCACCTTTATAAAAGCTTGAATGTAAATATTTAGAAACATCATAGGATTGAATGAACATTTTTCTTTCATGAACATTTAACAAATTTTAATTAAGCCGCAACATAAACAAGCACATTCCAATTAGGATGACTATATATTTGTAAGGTTCGTGTTTCACGGTAAACCACAATAACAAATTAATCTACTTGAAGTTTACATATTACTATATATACGACTTTGTCCAAAGAAAGAAATTTTATTTTAGTCCTCGAAGAATATAAGCTAAGAGTAGCTCATTCCAAATATCTGGGACACCTGGAAGGCACCAATGTGTACAATCAGCATAACGTGAAGGATTGGATAGTTGTTTTGCTTTCAAAGTGGAATAGAACAACCTATGAATAGATGGATGCCCATCTTTCCTATATTGTGTTAGTTGTGTTATATTCACCATTTTCACATCAACCCCTCTTTCTTTTAAATTCTTTAATGTCAACTCTAATGTTCTCATCATTTTTAAATCAGAACCACTTTCCCAAAAGTGTTCTTTTGTTACCGGCTCTGTCTCATTTAAACAATTTTCATTGTCTTGCATGCCCCAATCTATGCCCCTGAACATAAATGTACAAAAAGAAAGCAAAAATTGTCATTTATAGATCATAAACTAAAAATCTAATAACTTTAGGAAAAAAAAAAACAAAGTTAAAGATATATTACTTGTGGTGGGTTGCAGTCATACTCATGAAGTACGATTGAGTCCTTGCATGGTTGATATGAGTACGCACCCATTTTGACCATATTCTTAGAACCATTCTATAGGCACGATGGTTAGTGACTACGTTGTATTTTGTAGAATCTTCAAGTGAATCATACCTAACGATGACAAATCTTATAGCTTATTAATTCAAACTATCATGACTAATGTGAACCTTGGAAGTACGAACTCACAAGATTTTTAGTGTAGGTGTCCCCCACCAAAGATATGAGTTAAAAACTAATACATCTGCATTAACCCAATTTTTTGCGTGCTTCTCTATAGAGTGGATATGAACTATGCGATCGGTTCTTTTATGTTTTGTTGGGTGATCCGCATTAGATTCAACCAACAATGGAGCCCAATAGAAGTCAATCGAAACGTCATAATCCTGCATTAATATAAACATAGAAATAATTATATTATTACAAACCTAATAATTTAGAGATAATGAAAGCATAAACCCCATATAATATGGGTACGTAGTCGTTTTCCCACTCATGATTCAAATATGTAAGCACTATTATGAGTCGCTTATCGATGTCCCTGACACTAAGTTGCAACTATAAGAGTATATATAAATGGGTGTCTTGAATTTTATTAGGAATAAATGTCTTTAAAATTGGTATAAATTAAAACGTGTACTTCACAACCACAAAGAAAATATTTTTTATAATACCTAAATCATGATAATATTTTTCTTTTATCTTTTGAATAATAGTTTGTGGATTTAAAAACAATTCTATGGCAACACATATCATTTGTTATTGAAGTTATACAAACATCATGAATCCTGATATTTGAAAAAGGGTCTCCAAAACTATGTTCATTTACTCGTTGTAAAAAAAATTATCCGAATTTTTGAAAAAGGTACCGTGTCCAGAAACAATCAGACTCAACAACTCACAATGCAACCTCATATTTAGAAATCTATCATGTAGACTTTATGAATTTCAAATATGTAATGAAATGTAACTAAAGTTTTCACGTTAAAAGGAAAAACGAATGGTCATGAAAGTGTAAAGGATCCTATCACAAGAGTAACACCATGAGGGTCTTGATTCTCTAAAACATCCTATAATATTCGAATATTGCTTGTTAACGTAAAAATTGGAACTTAATTTCCAGTCCACTGATTTATAATCAAGTCCATTGATACAAAATCAAGTGTATAAAAACGAATTTTGAAGTAAAAATAGGACCACAAAAACTTTATGCCATATAATATTAAACTTTATAAATCATTGCACAATAGAAATAATTAGGTTATGGTAAAATTTGTAGTAGGTCACCAATAGATTATGATTGGTAATACAAGTTTATGTCAAAATTTTGTTATGGTCAAGAGTTATTATGGTTAGCGGAATAACGACACAAATGTGTAACCATAACCCGTTAACTAACATCCAAATTTCAATATTGTTTTTCTCATTGTGAGATAATTTTGTTAATACCGATATAGTATTCGTTACAAGATTTTATTGGCAAAACAAAATGTAAATATGACTTTTCACACTATATAAATTTTAATAAGTACTCAAAACTTTCTTCATCTCAAGTCCTTTAGTGTCTCTAATGATTTAAAAAATTGAAGTTATACCTTTTGAGAAAATCACCGTAAACCGATTGCTATAGGATTGAGAGGTAATTTCTTATGGCGTTACTGTGATCTTCCTTTAGGTAGTCTTATATACAACTAATTCACATTCATTAAGAACGTTAATTTTCCAAGGTTTCCTATATCATTTACTGTTATAATATACTAATACACAAAAGAAAACAGAACAAACAAGAACATAGAAATTTAGTCCGAAACCCTGAGAGGGGGGGGGGGGGAACCACAAGGCAGTTGACTTATATTTCTTGAACTAAACCAACATTTTTTAATCTAAGAAACTTGAACCCTATAATAATGAAAAGAATTCTAACTACCAAATAAATGTTAACATTTCCTAATCTCAAAGACTTTGGAAACCAAGGAGCCGAATAACTCCCATATGGGGAGAATTCAACTTACATTTCTGTAAACTCCACCTTGAAACGAACTCCATCTTTAATAGAGAAACTCCAATCCCATAAAAAATGAGGTAGAAATCACATATCACAGCCACCAAGGATTAAACTTGAATATCAATCAAGCTTGAAAAATGCTCAAACTTGGACAACATAATTGGCATCAAATCTAGCAACAATTCTAAGTGACAGTATGGCCCTCACAAATTTGAGTGCACATCATCAAAAATGTCTTTGATGGTGTGAGCTGAAGGGTTCAATTTATCTTTTTGTGTTTGCCAAGACGATGCTACATAATTAAAGGACACATCTTTTTAATAGAAATCTTTGAAAAAGCATGGATATGGATATATGATAATTTCAAAATTATAGAAATGGAAGTGATACCTAAAGTTGTCAATTTTGCAAGTTTAACACGGAAAGCTGACTGAGTATCACCTTAAAAGGTTTACAAGAATTGATTTGAACCCTATAACAGTTTTAGATAAAATTAATTATAGATGTAAACATGTGGAAAGAAAATCGCTAAACCATGTTGTAGGTTGCAGGTTTAAAGAAACTCAATTTAGGCCTGTGAAGGTGTAGGAATAAAATCGACAGAATCGTATTGTAGATTTAAAGATAATCGATTGAAAGGGAACCTTTGTAGGTTTCAAAAAAATATATGAAAACTTCAAGTAGGTATCAAGAAAATAGTTTTTTTATACCACTTGGTAAATATATTATGATGGTCATGTGTAACGACAGGTTTCAGGTATGAATTATTCGTTTTTAAGCTATGGTATTCTAGTCACCACGGCGTGGCTGATGGACTGCCACAGCGTGGCTTCACTCAAAATGAACACGCGGTTCTTTGGATCCCCACGTAATGACGATTGTTTTATGGAAAACCCTAAGTTTCCAGGCCTTGAGCACTATTTAAAGGAAGTGATGGCTAGGGTTTCGTTTATTCTTAGCCTTCATCACTTTCCAAACTTAGAAACCTAAACCCTAGCCTCCTTTGCAATATTTGAGCTCACTTTTGGTGCTATTGTGGTCTTTGATGGAAGAAGAAGGAGGTTTAGTGCAAGAAGCAAGCAAGCAATCCACATCCATATCTTGTGTGTGTTTTCTGGACCATTTGTAAGTTCTCAACCTCTCATCTTGTTGAGTTCTCCCTCAGATCTAGGCTATTTTGCATGTTTTGGTTCATAGTTGAGATTTGTATGGTTGAAAGGCATAATGTTGGCAATGTTATGGCTTACCAAGGTCCCAAATGCATTATATCTCCTAGATCTAGAAGTTGGTTGAGTTTCAAAGCTAAGCATGAGTTTTAGGTCACTTTTCTCATCTTTTAACCTAGTTTGAGGGAGGACATGCATGGGTCATGCATGTCCATAAAGTTTTGGATTTTTATGAGCCATTAGAGTCCTAAAAAGCTCTCTTGAAAGTTTGAGTTGAAGGCATTGAGGATTAAGAGCTTAATGCATTAAGCTGTCCAAGTGTAGTAGCCACGACATGACAAGTTGGCTGCCACAGCATGGTGAATGAGGACATCGCGACTGACTTGTCGGGACTCTGCCACGGTGTGGAAAAATGCTGGCAACGACGTGGTAGTTGATTATGATCACGACTGTGTTGGATGCCCACGACGTCGTCATGGATTGGCCACAATGTGGAGGTCGACTGAAGTTGACTTTGACCGTTAACGTTTTGATCTAGTTTCATTTTTAGTCAAATTGCTAGTTTTAGAAGTGTGGACTAAGGTTTGACCTTAGGTGTTTCGATAGGTGGGTTGTAGCATCGGTTCCACATCTATACGAGTTGTGGTATATTCGATTCGAGTGTGGGGTTAGTCTTCTCATTATATTATGTAGGGTGCTACTTGTCTTTGTCATTGTTGCATGTATGTTGGGCAGGGCCCGTTTGTATGTTAGGCAGGGCTCTTTATGTATGATGGGCGAGGCCCGATATGTATGATTGGTGGGGCCCGATATGTATGATAAGCGGGGCCCGTTTGAATTGAATGGGCGGGCCCGATATGTTGTGAGCGGGGCCCGTATGATTATTTGATATTTTAGAGAACTCACCAAACTTCGTGCTTATGCTTTATGTTTATTGTGTCGGGTACTTTTAGTTTTAAAGGGAAGACTCAGTTTGATCGCATTGCATCTCCTGAAGTTTTATTTCCCACTATTCATTTTATTATTTCACTCTGATGTTGAGAATACATTATACTCTGATTTTCTTTTGAATAAATGAATTAATGATTTTGGTTGTTTGAAATATGAAATTTTTACTTAATATTTTTGGCACGTTACAACAGTAAGAATTAGAACATCCAAGAACTCAAAATTTTGGGTGGAAATCGTTTTGGAAAACCATAAGGGACTAGACTTGTGTTATTAATAAATCTGATAAAATGAATAAAAAGAAAACGGTATATAGTTCTTACGGAGAGGAGATGATAATTTATAATGATAAGAATGATTAAAGTTAGCCTATATTTATAAGCTGAGAAATTAGAATCATAAAATAATACAAATAGTTTATAACTACCTTTAATGTTTTAATTTCTAATCATAAATACTTGGAAACCAAGCAATTGAATAACCTCAAAAGAAGAAGAATTGGGTTCACATAGTTCACATTTTATTGTTTTCACCTCTATGGACGCTCTTACTAACTTTTACGCCTACAAAAATCTACTTTACATACGTCCTAAGTTGAGATCATAATGTCATATTTGCAAAATTTTCAAAATTGTTTTAAAAATATTAAAGTTTCAATTTCATACAATGTCACATTCGTAGAGTTTATTACAAATAAGAAACATTCTATTGTTAACTCACACATATTAAGGTTGTGTTTAAAGTGGTAGTCGAAAAGCTAGTTTGTAGCTTATAAATAAATTATCTCAAGTAGCTTATCAAACAAAAAGTTAATAAATTATGATATATGATATATCATAGTAAAGCTTTTCTACTAATCTTATTTATAGATACTAACAATTTTAATCTAGCCATATCATTTTTTAATAAAAATCAATATAACTAACTAAGTAGTATTTAACAATATATTACTAATTATTATGTAATATTTAGTTTTTAATATTATATATTTCTAAACTTACCAAATTATTAACTTCTTATTTGTATTTTTATTACATTTTAAAATATGATTTATTAGTTTTAAATGTTTTATGTATCCATTTTACGTTATATTAAGCAAACCAGCCAATTTTTTAATTAACAGAATAATAAATAAAAACCTAGTCATGAAAAAAATGATTGCAAAGACATTATAAATTTATGTGAAAAATCTATGTTTTGAAAAAAGTTCATACAATATGTTAATTTTTTAAGTTTATTTGACTGAAAAGGTATTCTTATAAATTCCTATTAAAAATTAAAAATGTTGGTACTATTACAACTGTTTATGTTAATTATACTACATATTAAGACACTCAAAACCTTCTAGCAGACTATGTACGCAACAAGATAATTCATCTTACCAATTGGACAGATCATTACCACCCTTTTTAATTCGATACAAAGTCTTTTCTACCTTTCTAAATATGATTATCCGATCCAAGTATAAGCCCATCAAGCCCATTTCGAGTTTCCAAATTCCTACTGTTCACTGTTCACCTTGCTTTCCATTTTTTAAAAAGTGCCAACTGCCATACATGACATTGACTTATGTCACGTGTTAATCAACTTACATATTATTCATCATTAAATGTATCATACTCAACAATGAATAGCCGAATAGGGTCTATTTCTAAAGACTAAAGATGTGGATTGTTACATTCTCACTCTCTTGAAAGAATTATATCTTAGAATTAATATATAATTTCTATTGAACCCCACAGATCGCAATATTCTTTGTAACAATATTGGTATAGTATAATGGTTATAAGAAAACCCTTACATTTACGACTATCTTTTTATTGTGACGAAGAAAGAGTTGCTACATTATAGAAATCTAGAATTAATTATTGTATATTATCATCACTCTATCTTTAATACTTACCATTTCATGTCACTATAATCTTAGCTTTCATACCTTACAAATCCATAAAACTTTTCACACCTAGCCTTACACATGCATACGGGCTTTATGGCTCTTTATCATGATAACGCATATGGGCAAATCAGTATGATATAAATGAAATGATCATGATTTCAAATAAGTTTGGATGGTATCTCGGGTACTAGCTCAACCATAAAAATTTATAGCAACTTGGCATGGACAAAAACGTCTAGGCATGCATTAATCATATACATAAGCATTAATGAAAATAACAGTACATTTTCCAGATTTTAGACAACTTCTGACACTTCCTACTATACTATAAATGTGTATTCAACACTTCTATTTTTCTCGGATAAAATACACCTTTTAGGTTTTTACTAAATGGTAACACGTACTATTTCTTTTTACAGTTTAAATGCATATCTATATTAAAATCTTGTGAAAATAATGTGTGGTAGATTGTATATACGCCAACAATATATCTTATCCCAATGCACTTGTTTTCATTGCTTCTTCCTAAGGGTAGTTGAATATGTTATAAAAGCTGATTTTGGGATATTCAATACAATTCGATTTTCATTTTTCTAGTTTTCACAATTACATCAATTAATAATTTTCGTTTTGTTAAACCAGTTAAAAATCAGTTTCAACTACATATTTGTTTTTTCTTAAACTAGTGGGAAGTAACATTTTGGTTGTTGACAAGAGCATAGTTATAGGTGTTTAGTAGGTAATTTTTTATGCTACTTATACACATCTAACACTAACGAGAAGTTGTTCACTCACTTATCAACCAATAAATTATCTAGAAACTATAACTTATCACAAAAATAATATTATGTGATTGAATACTTACAAATGCTTTGAAGGTGAGCAACGAGACATCCTGAACTTGTTTAACTTCCTGGATCTTGTGCATCTTCTTCCTTCCAGGAGGAATGACAGCTTGAAGCATACAAACAATTGACACCCATTGGTTCCTATTTACTGAATCTCCAACAAACATTATTCTTTTACCCCTTAGCTTCTCAAGAACTTGTTTGGCATCAAATCTACACACATGTATACATATTCAACAATGAAATAAAAAAATTCATAAGATAACTTGAAATCACAATTAATGTCGGGACCTTGGAAGGCTGCAAGCATGGGGTTGCCATCTCCATTGTTGATACTTGGAGTCCATTCTTCCATATTGTCCACAAGCAAACTCACCAGGAATATAGGGGCAATCTTGTTCTTTGTATAGAGGATAAGAATCGTTGTCATGAACCCATTTGCCGGAGAACAAATCACACCCTTCCAAAGAATCATAAACACTAGGACTGTGAGCTACAGTAGCCGGACTCGCCGGACTGGTGTATTGTTCGTCGGTGTTGACATAATAAACGGCGGTGGTAGTCAATGCTCCTATTATGAAAAAGATAATGAGACTGCTTTCGAACATATGTTTCACATCCCATATTTTTACCAATCGCTTCTTCTTCTCCATCTTTCTCTCTCTGAAGAAGAATAATGAGTATCGAAGGAAGAAATCACAGACTTAATTATCCGTTACCACCAGGTGCTTCTTTTTCCTCACCACCACCTCCGGCGCCGATGGATTGGGAGATGTAAGCGTGTGCTTTACGGAGATGTACTACTACATGGTATTGCGGGCCTGCATTTTTATTTTAGAATAGATTCTCACGCTAGTTGTTTCAAGTTTTGATCTTGAAACTGGTGAGTGAAATTGGAATCTGAGCTATTTAATTATGACCTCTACTGGAAGTTTGTGTCAGTCTTTCTCTCTCTTCCTCTCTCTCCTCTCTCTGCATATTTCACATTTCTGCAGTTGTACTCTCTCAGCACGTGACGAGCAAAGCAATGGTCGTTAAGAAAGAAAAATAACTGATGAAACGAAAGTAGGAATATATGTTTGGGCATTCACATCAAGTTTTGACCAATGGCTATAGGAGTTTTTCATCAAAATAACAAATAGAAGTTACTGTTACTTTAAATTAATAGTTATATATTTAACCGAAACAAAATTTTATAATTGTCAATTTTGTTTTTTAATTTTTCTTTAAAATAGTCTTTATGAAACTGTTTTTGCATGGATAGTCCACTTGACAAAGTTTTTAAAAACATATGGACTCCCCCGATTAATATTATCTCCCAATCATATATTTTGGTGCAAACATAGGAGCAAGTTCGGAGGTGGTTGCTGGGTGGAATGGAGCTGTTCACCTTTCTTGCATTCAAATTTCACTTTTTCATAATGTTGTATTTTCTTCCCAGTTTCGTGTGTGCGTCTTAGTTGCTGGCTAAGCTTGTACCTTTTCTTTACTTTTATATATTTATCTCATTTGCCGTTCAAAAAAAATAGATAGTCTACTTGGAGCAAACATTGCACACAAATGGTCTTTATAACTAACTTTGTTAACAGATTATTTTAAATGCTTATAAAATGATGAAAATATCCTTTTTTTTCACACAAATGGTCCTTAGAGCATCTTCAATCCATTGAACTCTATAGAGTTTAATGAATTGCCATATCATCCATTAAACACCTATACAATAATACTTACAACTCATTCAACTCCTTCATTCAACTTACTCCATGTCATCATCACCCACACTCCATTAAACTCTTATTCAATCCTAATCATCACCTTATTCAACTCTTATACTACTTGCATTGTGGATGCTCTTATGACTCTCTCTCTCTCTCTCTCTCTTATGACTCTCTCTCTCTCTCTCTCTCTCTCTCTCTCTCTCTCTGATGACCATGTGAATCTATAATCAACCATCAAATTCTTACCTATAAATCTGAAACTGGTTCTCTTCTTTATATGTTCGATGTCATTAAAAACATTCAAGAATAATCGATTCCAAAACTCACATGTGTGCCACTGCCCTCTATTAACTGAAAAAAACCTAGAAGAATATAAAATACCCAGAAGCAACTAAAAAACGCAATAATTCGAAACAAATACCCGATGAAGATCAAGGTATCGATTTGTGTGTGTAGGGAGGGGGTAAATTATTCCCTAGATTATCAGTCAACCACCAAGGAACTGGCTGTCATAGTTAATTAATGATGAATCGACCTTGCTTGAGCATCAATTAGGGGAAAATCAAACCTACAAATCATTTTACAGTGAGAGAAGGGAGAATCAGAAACAAATAACAAGAAGAATCGAAAGTTGTGTGTGTGGTTTTCGCCTGGATATTTAACTATAATCCCGAAGGTTGTATTTGGCTGGCGACGTCATTGACGGTAAGAACCTCTGCACCATTGTTCAATTTATGGAGGTTGAAACCGAGTCAGAAGTGTATTCCATCGATTTGAAGGGCCTCAAAACTCAATTTGCAGGTTTACGACTCCCTAATCTGTTGTCGGAGGAACGGTGTATCTAGTACTAGCACCAGATAATCGATTTACTCATTTGTTTTCATACAATCGATCTTATTACATGTAATTCTTGATATGTTCTGGCGATTCATCATTATGTATTGAGAATTTATCCATCTTAATCTCAAGCAATTTTATCATTGTGTTCATAGGATCCTTTTAATTATATCTTATTGACCAAAATCGATTTTCAAATTCTTTGTTGATATTCTTGATTAAATCGATTTAGTGAATCGTAGTTCATGTATTGACTAACAAAATTGAAAATTTCAAATAAAGGATGGATATAATTTGAGAAGTGGATATACCAAGATGATATTATCTGTGATCAGAAACTGAATTGAAAGTTTGAATCCGCGATATTGTTCCTATAGTCAAATTAGAAGTCAAAATTGACTTCAATATTTGATTCAGGTTTGTCGTGAAAGAAAAAGGATTTCGATTCATTCCATCTTTAGCAGCTTCAATTTGTTGTGCATATGTTGTAATCCCAATAGCATAAAAAAGCAATTCACTAAACCCTTTATAACTATATTTGTAGGTCTCGTACAAAATTGAAGAATCGAGAACCTTGAAGGAAAGCAATAAAAAGATTTGTAGATCCAAACGAATGGTTATGGAGAAGTTCAAATGTTCAGAGTAGTGTTTCGATTTTTTAGGATTTAGTTGAGAAAATGGATTTGTGTGATGTCCCATTTTCATAACAAAATTTTTCCTCTTTAATTAAGGTAAAACTTCTCATAAATATAATCTAAGAAAACCATTTGTTCCAAAGTACATTGTATAAAAGTAGATTAATATAGTAAATGCAGAATCTCCATTGCTGTTGATTAATGTGTACAGTCACGACTTCGCCTTCCTACAATCACCACTGGTACCTGAAAAACATTTAATCCACAACTGTAAGCCAAAGCTTAGTGAGTTCCCCCAAAATACCACACACCACAAAACACATACAATGCATGCACACTGGGCCCATAATCATATATACGAAACTGCCCTAAGCCTACAACATTAATTTGGACTGCTCTCAGGTTTGTTGGCCTACTGACTCAACCCAACTACTTACCCGATCATCCAGTCCATGATTGGTTCCCTTTCCGTGCCTAAGGCTTAGAGCCGACCCGCACCTGGTATCTTGGCATACAACACGAAGTAGGACTGCTTCAACCTAACCCATCATAAAATGTCGACATATACAATCAAACAAGCGATCAAGAAAACACATAAGAATAGGTTTCTATATACACGAATCTACCTATCTAACAACTCACTGCCCCATGTCACTACCGATAAATTTCCAAGGAATGCATAGTTACATGTAACCAGATGTGAGATAGACATTCGAATAGATGATCATACTCTAGAGCTACAACCAAAAAAGGAACAAGAAAGAAAGCTTAGATCAAGAACTCTCAGGCTATCCTACGTGACTACATACAACCCTAGGGTACTCCACTAGACGATAAACAACCTACTAGTACTCTAACCAGCATACCACTACTCCTATATTCTAAAATACAAGGATATATACTGTAAACACGTAGTATAGTGAGGAAACTCACCTGAATCGGAGACCCAAGAAACACCGTGGCATGCTCACTCTATGTACTGATTGCTCCGGAGCCGAATGAAACCAAAACATGGAAGGACCTTAATCAATAACCTAATTCCTTCAAGTTTGACCAAAAGTCAAAATAGTCAAAAAGTCAACGGTCAAGGTCAACATTTTATATTACCAAAAGTTGACCCTCACGTCGTGACCAATCCTTGATCAAATCATGAGAACATACTCATCCCGTTTTCAAACTCGGTCACTCACCAACTAAGCTAACTCGATCACAAACAACTCAAATAGAAGACATCACGATGTGAGCCTTCCTTGGTCACGTCGTGGACTAATCATGACAAAATAATCAAGGAATTCTCCTGTCACACCCCCAAACCGAGAAAACGGCGGAAACGTCTGAGGGTGGATGACTTCATGTACCATATCATAACAATTGAATATAAATGATCAAAGCAAACACAACCATCATATATAGGATTGAAAAAGTTACATCGTTGTAAGTATTAAAAGTTTCAAGAGTCAATTACAATATGATGATAAAAAAGAGTTGTTTGACGCCCTAACGTCCCATCCTCGAAAGCTTGTAGTTACCTGTTTTAACGATTTCCTGAGAATACAAGTCATTTGAAAAAGTGTCAACAATTAAGTTGATGAGATTATAAGAGTTTGTATGAGTGATTCTAAACCTTTCTTTGTAAAGTGATAGCGTTTGTTTCCAGAAAATCCGATATTTTCAATAAAAATGAAATGTAGTCTTAAATGTTCCAAGCCCGAAATGTACAAGTATTTTATCCATACTTAAAATAGTAATATGCAGTTTTATTTGTATATAAAATCGTTTGAAGGAATGTTTTTTCCGTGTAAAATAAACGTATCGTCGTTTCCCCATGTGAGTTTTCATAACTGTGCTATGACAAGGATGACCTGTCGCGACGTTCTTCAGGCGTCGAATCGTTATGACATTTGTCACCCAAGACCTGCCGGTCTAAATGTAGCTAACAATTAGGGTGCGGGATCGTCAGTCCCGTATAGATCTATACACAAGTATCACGCTCTCCAACATGAGACTCTGGTTATAAAACAGGACTTTCGCGTATACCTTGGTAGGTACAGTAAAGAAAATGTCTCACAAATTTATTCAACGAGTTTACGTGTTTTTTCAATGAAAACGTTTGTATATGTAATTATCCCTTTTTCCAGGACAATAAAAACGGCGTAAAATAATTATATATGTATTTTATATAATTATACACTTTGCTCAACGGGTTACAAAAGTGTTAATGGTTCGTAAACTATACTTTAAATAGTTTATTTTAGTGTAGGTTCTTTGTGCCTAAAAGTATGTATTTTCACAATGAAAATGGTTTAATGTACTTTAAATAACAAGTATTTTATATTTAAAGCAAATAAATGGGGTTTTTAGTATGAAAACAACCATTTTTACTAGTTTTTGACTTTTAATCGTTATTAATGACAAATAACGACAATATGGTTACGTAAAACTTATTTTTGCCTTTTTGAGATTTTTAGATCTAGTTGAATATATATATGTTTTAATCAACATATCTTTGGTTATAAACCCGCAAAAATGGTGTCATAACCGGGTTACGACCATTTTTGTTAGAAAATCCTTTGTTACGTAACATACAAGCAAAAATTTACCATCTTGTATATTATTTTATTTACTAGTATTCTCCTCCTAAAATATGAAATTTCTTGAAAATGGTGGGGGTATGAACTCACCTTATGTGTTTTTTTGATGAGTGGAAGGTTGTTGATAAGAAGTTTCAAGTCAAGAACACTTGAAAAATACTTGGAGAGTTGATGGTCCTAAGGACATCAATACGTGAATATGTGGGTAAGGGGTTCAAGATTTGTGTAGGAGTATGTAAAATTACTAGAGTTTGAAGGAGGTA